CTCTAAATTCGGGACCCTTTTTGGGTCCTTGGTATATGCGTACGATCTTTGGAACCGAAGGAGGGACCCTAATTTAGACAACTACCCAAATCCTGAACCCTAAATCCGGAATCCTAAACCCCCAACTTGAACCCTAAACCCTACATCCCCAACCCTGAACCCTAAGCTCTAGACCCCTAGAGAACCCTACTCTCCTAGACCCTGGACCCGCGAGGGGCGCCTCGCTCTTCCCAGCGCCAGTCACACTCCGCCCAGGAGGAACCGAACCAACCAGATCAGCCCTTACAGGGGGTGCCGGCGGCTTCAGGGCTTCGGGACAAGGATTTACGGGCTGCGGCCTTAGGGCTATGTTAGTCTAGCTTAACGGGAAGTTTGGGGCTAAGGGTGTTGGGGGTTTTGGCTTTAGGTTTCGGGGCTTTGGAGGGGGTCTACACTAGGGAAACTGTGCTCGCTAAAGGCCCAAGATTTAAAGGTCAGCCCCAGACTCAGTCAGAGACTCCCAAGCGCTACCTCCTAAAGCAATGCAGCGCCGAAGTCCTTAACTACATGTCGATCTCAACAGCCCCCAAAATAATCCGGCGAACGGGGCGGAGGCCTGTTGCCAAGCGGACCCTTGCCAAGCACCTTCGCGGACTTTCCGGATGTTTAGGGTTTAGGGCGTTTAGGAGACAGGGTTCAGGGACTATGGATTTAGGGACAACCAATCAATAAAGGATTTAGGGTCTAGCGGCGCTGGTTTAGGATGCAGAGGTTCGGGATTTAGGTTGTTAGGGCTCTCATATGAAGAGACCCTCGAACATCACAAGCTTCCTGACGTAGTCCCTAATGTAGGTAGCCCTAACAAGAATGGTCACCTAAGGACCCCTGAAGGAAAGGATCCTTAATTAATATAAGGACCCGTTTTGAAAGGGACCCCCCAAATTCTATCAATGAAAGATCAAAAACCTCTCTTAAGACGTTAACTAAACCTACAGCCTTACACCGCCCCTTAAAAAGCTTTGCTAAGCCAAAATCGCTATGAGGTTTGTAGGGAGCGAAAGATTCCTCTGCCGTTTAGGCTTTGAAGGCCGCAAGGTTCCTATTTTGGAGCTCCCGGAAACTGTGCGGTTTAGGCTTTAAGGTTTAGGCTTAGGGTTTAGACTTTAAGAGGTTTTGGGGTTTAGAAAAAACCTAGTTCGGAAGCAAGCCTGCCCATCCGAGGCCACGGCTGCTGCTCCACCAGCCCTCCTGGTGCGGCGCTGAGCTTCGGCTTTTTTGTCACTGTAGGTTTAGGGTCTATATAGGTTGTAGGGCTTAGGGCTTTGGGCTTGGGGTTTGATTAACGCCCGAAGCCCCAAATCTATAAGTCACACACCTTATCGCGAAACCTTGAACGCCGACCCTACATGTACCCCGAACGTATGAACCCCTAGACCCCGGACGTCCAAACCTCGCTGGCAGCTTGGGGCCTATCGGTTTAAGACTTGGGGCTTCCAGGTCTCACTTTGGGGTTTGAGCGGTTTAGGGGTTTAGGGTCTAGGCTTCGGGGCTTACGCGATTTAGGGGGATTAGAGGTCTAGGCGGGGTTGGGCGTTGAAGGTTTAAGGGTTAGGGCTTAGGGCTTGGATGACCGAAACCCTTAAACCCTAAACCCTCATCATCCGTCATCTTGCATCGAGTTTGAAAGAGTTAGGAGGGAGCCATAGGGAGCCCCCTGTTGCAGGTTTACTGTAGACGCTGCAACAACTTGTAGTCGTATCCCGAAATATACATAAGATAGCCGCAAACCATTCTAATATTATTCTTTTGTCTTTATATTGGGCTTTTCCCTAAACCCTCAACCCAAAACCCTAAACCCTAAACCGCTTTTGGCCTTGATGAAATTTTCTGCGGGCCTCCCTCAGACTGGAAGCGACACATGGGCCCACAATTTCTCTGACTCTGCTTTTTAAATTCACGGCTTAACGGCCACAAAACCAGAAAACCAACCCCCCGAATAGCGCAAGACCCTGGAGCCCTAGAACTCTCAACACCCAAAAAGCCCGAAATCTCCATCTCTCAAAGAGGGCATGTCATGTCCTGCCAGTACCAGGCGGTGGGCCAAGAAGCCATCGGCAGGAGTGCAAAGCAATGCGAAGCAATTTGATGGTGGAACCCTGAATTCAGAGGGGCTTGGGCAAAGTTTAGGGCCTAGAGCTTGGAGCTTGAAGCGTAGATTTCACTTTTTAGGATGTTTTTGGGGTTTTAGATTTCGGAGCTGAATTTTTTTGTGGTAAACTTACGTAACGCTCAGGATTTGCATAGTGCCTAAACCCTAAGCCCTCATCCCAAAACCCTGGCCCTAATCCCGAAAACCATATCTCTAATTAATCGCTACACAATACAGTCGTGCAGGAAATGATGAGCAGTGAGCCACATTCATGTGGGGGCGGGGGGGGGGGCTTATCCTAACAAGGCGATAACAAGGAATCCTAAGCAATACTGTCGCAAATTATATTTTGCCCCCGAGATTAGAAAAAGGCTGCTGTACTGATGCATGTTCCGAGACCCTGCATGCTGAAAGCCGTGAGCCCTTTCACCACAGCCGCTCTGAACGCCAAAACCGAAGCCCACTGGCTAAGCCGAAACCTTCACAGCTCCAGGACGGTCGGCCCAGGATTCTGCACATCTAGGAAAGGGTTTGGGCTTGTCCACGGAATGGGAGTGTGCAGGGCGTAGTATCTTTGTAGGACAATTGTGCATCATATCTCCTAGGTAGTATTAGGGAGATCCCTGACCTTCTTAACCCTACTTATAGCTCCCTTCAAGGGGACCTTATTGAGAGGGTCTATATCACCAAGTGTCCCCCGAATCCTAAGTCCTACATTAAATATGTAGGGGAGTCCCTTCTCAGGGGAATCCCAGCGCGAATCATCCCTAACCCATGCTTACTTCATCCTAAGCCCTAGAGAATCCTAAGCGGGCTCGGGGTTCGGGCTCGGGGCTAAAGGTTGGAAGCCACTCTAAACCCTAAACCCTTAAACCCTAACTCGAAACCCTAAACCCTTAGACCCTAAGCCCTTAAACCCTAAACCCTAAACCCTTAAACCCTAAACCCTAAACCCTGAACCCCTTAGATGCTCAAAGCCCTAAACTCCAAGCCCTACATCGGGTGCGCCTGTAATCCGAGAGCTTTTTGGCGGACGGTTCAGGGTTGAGGGCTTAGGGTTTAGAGTTTAGGCTTTAGGGTTTAGGGCTTAGGGTTTAGAGTTTAGAGTTTTTTTTTAGAGTTTAGAGTTTAGGGTTTAGGGTTTTGGGTTTAGCGCTTAGGGTTTAGGGTGTAGTAAGGGCTCAGGGCTTCGGGTAAGGCCCAAAACCTGAAAAGCCTCGGCGAGGCATGACAACCTTGCTGCGGAAAGCTCCACGTCGCCCTCAGAAAGCACCATCAACACCCGACTTCGAATTCGGCCAACAATCAAGAAACTTTGGTAGCACACTCACCTTACGAAAGACATGTGAACACCATTCACTGGCACCGGATGAAACGCGCAGGATTGAAGCCAAAGCTGATCACACCATGGGGTTTGAGGTTTAAAGTCTCGGGTTTAGGGCTTAGGAACTACATTTGCACAGTGGCTGGGCAAAATTTTAAAAACCAAGCGCCAAATCGGGGTCGTGGCAAGGGTAACAGATATCGACCCAGGAAGCCTCCAGCTCTGAACGCCAAGCCCTACAACCCTGATTCAGGGTTTAGAGCTTAGGGTTTCGGAAATCCCTGAACCCTAAGCCCCCCCAAAATCCCAAAAGAGCATCAGATGCACATCTCCTAAACCCCAAGACCCCTCCATCCTAAATCACAAACCCTGTCTCGACCCTACACGCTGAACCCTTACGGTAGACCCTTCTAGAAACCCTTTAAGGCACCCTAAACCCTAAAGCCCTGAACCCTAATACCTTAATACCCTAAACCCTAAGTCCTAAACCCCAAACCCTAAACCCCAAACCCCAAACCCTAATACCCCAAAACCCTTAACCCTAAGTCCTAAACCCTAATACCCAAACCCCAAACCCTAGTACCCTTAACCCTAAGTCCTAAACCCTAATACCTACTCATGACGGCCCTCTATATGTATCTTAGAGAACCCAAGGCTCCCAGGCGCCTCCAGATCAGGGTTCGTAAGGGACACCCGCCAGCCAAATCTTTCCATCAGCGCCTCGCCGACCTCTGTGAATTTAGGCTTTCGGGTTTAGGGTTTGGGGTTTAGGGTTTAGGGTTTGGGGCTTAGGGCTTAGGGCTTAGGGCTTAGGGCTTGGGGCTTGGGGTTTGGGCTTGGCTGCTATTAAGGGGCCTTGCATCTTTGTAAATTTTGTTCAGCACGCTACGTGCAGGTTCGGGGGGCCTAGTAAGCAGGCTACTTTCGGAGATACACGTATCATGAACCTAATCAGGATTCCTCTTGGAGCATTTATCGCTCTACTTAACGTCTCTCTAAACCCAAACCCCAGATCTCTGATAGGAAACCTCAGAGGAAGCATTGTACTGGCAGTTCACCCCAGAACCCTAAGTGTTGGGCTTCATGCAGGGGCACTGATGATTGGAACAGGGTTTTGGTGAGAGATGTTTTTGCATGGTTACGCAGGGGCGGTGGATTCTCGCGCATGATTATTAAGAACTCTAAACCCTCTAAACCGACCTCTACATTCAGTTCAAGGTACTGTATGGGGTTGAGTTAACTCGAAGGTTTAGGGTTTAGGGGCTTAGGGTGTGGGGTTTAGGGTTTAGGAGTTTGGGCTCACTGCGTAGTATGAAACCCTAAACCCTAAACGCTGGTCCCATAACCCCCAAAGTATTTTGACCCATACAAAGAGCCCTTCTCAGGGCCCAAGGCTTCTTGATCCAAGCTCCTCGGCCCAAACCCTAAACCCTAAACCCTAGACCTAAAACCCTAAACCCTAGACCCTAAACCCTAAACCCTAAACCCTAGGCCCTAAACCCTAAACCCAAACCCTAGGCCCTGAACCATAAACCCTAAACCCCCCACCTCTTCGGCCAGTGCATCCGAGGACACGAGGGCCTAGGCCGTGCCGTTATTTGAAGTTCCCTGGTTTAGGGTTTAGGGTTTTAGGGTTTAGGGTTTAGGGTTTAGGGTTGAATTTGGGAGCTTCAGAACCTTAAAGTAGAAGCCAAAAGGTTGGAACATCCTGATCCTCATGCCCTTAAGGTAGAGAGCAAAGGGGATCCCAGCGCTACTCTTCCTAAATCCATGCTCCAACTTTCTGGAATGAACTATAAGATTTCACAGGGGTTCTGTACGATTCTGCCGCGGATCTATAAGAATTTGCAGGTGTTCGTTAAAAGGGTTCTATGAGGGTTTTGAGGTTTTGAAAGGGTTCTGTGACTATAATGTACGGCTTCAGGAGGATTCTACAAGGTTCTGTAAGGTTTCTTAAGGGTTCTGAAAGATCTTAACACTGTTCGTTGATGCTTTGTAAAGATTCTGTAAGATTGCAAAAAAGATTGTATCGTGGTTTTGATAAAGCTTTACAGGGTTTAGTTAGGGGTTTTCTCAAGCTTTACGCGGTTTGGTGAAAGTCCTACAAGCTTTTGTCAGGGTTTCATCAGGGCTCGGTATGGGCATTGCCGGGTTTTGAAAGGTCTGCAAGAGCGTTGTTGTGGCTTCGTGGGGTGTAGGTGGACCTTGCTTGGGGGATATGGATTCGGGAACTTGTTGTTTACTACAGGCACGGCTTTTTTGTTCTGGGCTTTGGGGTTTGGGTCTTTAGGGTTTCCGGTTTCGGGGCTGAGGGGTGAAAGTTGAATGGTGTAAGTTTGAAGGGAAGGGGGTTCAGGGCTCCCCTACAGGATCCCGGAGTTCAGTATATGGGTAGTTCTCCAAATTCGGGTCCCTTTTAGGGTCCTTTTTATAAGGGTGCCGTATATTGGGGACCTACAAAAGGGACCCTGCTTTAGAGAACTCCCCATATCGGTTCGAAAGATGGGTTGCAAGTCCTGCAAGCGCGGGTCTAAAAGCAATGATCTTACTGTACAACCTACCTGCATTTTCGAAATCGCCTCATCCTTTGCGCCGGGTTCTCGAGTTTGTGGTTTACACACAACTAAGGTGCTCATGAATAGATACTCCAAGCGTTCTTGCTCGAGGGTCCTTGTTGATTGCCCAGGCCTCGGCTATCAAGCATCAAGCCAAACATGGGTAATGCAGGATTTGTATCATCAACTGTACGGATTGGAATATTGGCTTTGATCCTTAGGTCTCAACCGACTCAGGCATGGTCAACTACGGTTGATGATATGTAAATCCTGCATTACCCATACTCAGGAATATACCATAATTCCCATAGTTTAGGGTCCTTCAGGTAATGCAGGATTTATATCATCAACAGTCGGGCGCCCGATCCTTACAATAGAGCAGGTTCATAGTTGAGACAGCTCCTTTTCGAGCTTCAACGGGGGACAAGAACCACAAGGACCATAAGGGGATATGATTGCAGTCTTATCCCCAATCACTGAACCTGGAAGCCTCGATCCAAAATTCTCAAGCCCTAAAACTTTAAACCCGAAAGCCCAAAACCCGAACCCCAAATCCTAAAGCCCCAAAGCTCCTGAAAGGAACCCTTCACGGAGCCCGTCAGGAAGCCTAATCCATAAGACCATCATAGAGCCCTTAAAGGAACCCTACTATATAACCTTATTATAGAACCCTTAGGGGTTCTTAGGGTTCCTTTAAAGGGCCCCCTGAAAGCAACTCTGAGAAGGACTCCCGGCCTTTCCAACTTTGGTCGATCGCTTCGCCTTCACGCGGAACCTCGGAAGAACACTGGGGGGGTTCCGACTACCAGGGTTTGCTTGGAGTTTAGGGTTTAGGGCTTTGTAGGGTTTAGTGTTTTTAAGGGTTTTCACGGGTTTTAAGGGGTTTTTAAGGTTTAAGGTTTTTTAGGGTTTTTTCAGGTGTTTTTTAGGGTCTTCAGGGCTTAGGGTTTTTAGCGGTTTTGAGGCTTTTCGGGCTCTTAGGGTTTAGGGTTTTTGGTGTATAGGGTGTAGCATTCGAGGTTTGTAGTATATTGCACCCCAAACCCCTCTTCCCACTGCTGAGGCCCGTACATTATCTGAGAGAACCTTTAAAGAAGGCCCATGAGGTGTGTTTCTGATGGGGCTTCTAGAGTGCGCTGGGCTTCAGGAATTGCGGCAGGGCTTGCGCAAGCTTTAGGGTTTGTAGGGCTTAGGGTTTAGGGTGTAGGGTTTAGGGCTTAGGGAGTTTAGGTTTTAGCTTTAGCAAGGAACGGCACTAGACTAAACCCTAAACCTGACAGAACAGGAGCCCTCGTGGACTGTGGTTTTGTCGAAGTTGTGGCTTGGACGCTACGTGTAGGGTACAGGGTCTACTTGGAGGAACAGGGGATGATGCAAGGTAGGCGGTAAATAGAGGTAATCTAGGGGCCTTACTAGTTCGAATAGGGTTTTTGGGGCCCAAAATACTGTACTTTATAACAAGGAACCCCAAGATACAAAACTGTATAACAAGGAAGATCAAAAGAGTCTAGGGTACTTACGAAGGCCCCAATATCATAGCAGGTTAAGCTCCTTTTCTTTGGGCTCCTGGGCGTAGGGTTTGGTGCTCTCAGCCCTAAACCCTAAATATCCCTAAACATCCCTAAACATCCCTAAAACCTTAACCACCAAACAAAACCCTAACCCCGAAACCCCTACACCCGAAACCCCTAGACCCTAAACCTTAAAGCCCTAAACCCAAACTCGTAAAACCCTAAAGAGGCTAATGATTTCGGGCTTGTGATTTTTTGCGAAGCCCTGCGTTCGGAAAGCGTACAAATTCTTTGGCCTTCATCTGAGCAACTCCAAAATGGGCGAAGATAAACCCTAGCAGCACCCTAAACCCTAAAACCCTCAACCCTAAACCCCCTAAGCCCTAAACCCTAAAAACCTAAACCCTGGAACTCTAAACACTAAACCCTCTAAACCCTAAGCCCTAAACTAAACCCTACACCCTAAGCCCTAAGCCTCCTAAGCAAACCTGGGCCTTGGACGTGCCCGGTGGCCCGCGACCTCGGAGGGCAGGCGCCAGCAGAAAGGATCCGGTTTAGGGTTTAGCTTAGAGTCAGGGGGAGCTTCGCCCAGTTTGGGTAGTTACATCACCGTCAACCAAATAGTAACAATTATATGTCAAAATACATTTCCTAGTCTATTTTTCAGGTGATGTAACTCCCGAAATGGGCAAAGCTAGGTTTATTCATTTTATGTAGAACAGTATGGGTAGGGGGTTGTTCATTCAATAATATTTTAATTGTATTTGTAAAGTATCATTGGTGTATTATTGCATTTGTTTCAAGTTATTCTGGTGGGTTTGTGATTGTTCATGTTGTTTCAGTTTGTATTTCTTGATGTCGCAATTACAAAGTGGGCAAGTAAATATTTCGTCCTTGATTCTGCTCATTCGGTTTTGTCTCCATTCTTTCACTTTGTCGGGGTTGTTTGCTCTGTACTCTGCCTTGGTTGCTCTTTCGTGCTCTCTTGCTGTTTCTGTCTTGTTCTCTCGATGTCTTTTTTCCTTTGCTCTACAAGTATTACATGTTTTATATCCTTCTTCAAACTTTTCAACCTTGGGATGTCCTTGACATTTACTACAATATTTTCTTTCACTCATTTTAACACTTAATATTTTAAGTCGTTATTTCTTTAAGTGCTTTCTCTTAAGACTTGGTTTCTATAGTTCAATAATAATTTAATTTTATTATGAAATTATGATTGGTAGACTATACACAGAATTTTGGACTGCATTCAATGAGTCGCGCCATAGTGACTCATTGAATGCCCCACCCCCCTACCCATACTATACCCCATAAAATGAATAAACCTAGAATTGCCCATTTCGGGAGTTACATCACCTGAAAAATAGACTAGGAAATGAATGTTGACATGGAATTGTTACTATTTGGTTGACGGTGATGTAACTACCCAAACTGGGCGAAGCTCCCCCTGACTCTTAGAGGGCTTAGGGTTTAGAGCTTCAGGGTTTTTGGGTTTAGGGCTTGGGGTTAGAAGTTTAGGGCTTATTGTTTAGGGTTTAGGGTTCATGGCTGGAGGGCAGAGGGCTTAGAGCGCAGGATTCTTCGGATTCTGGATTGCTTAGGGGCTAGTTAGGATTTAGAGTAGGGTGGCTCTTTGTTGAAAGGGGGACGTGAGCCATGAGCCCTCAGGCCTGCCACCCAAAAAAAGGCAGTCGAAGCCCACTCCGTCTCAAAGGATGCATGAGCTAATGTAGGGGCATTAATACTTAGAATAGGGTGTTGGGGGCATATTATACTATGAGTACAAGAGTGAGCCCCCCATAAATAGTTTAGGTAATGATTTAGGCCCTGAACCCTTTCCAGTTGCGACTGTTCCCAACCCCGAAGTCAGGAGGTGTCCCCACCCAAGGAGAGCACCCAGCAGGGCACCCCACAGGAGCAGCGCTCGCCCCCAGTCTGCAGACAGCACCTGAAAGGTTTAGGGTTTTAAGGTTTAGGGTTCGGGGTTTAGGGCTTAGGGTAGCGATCTCGTATTTGTTGAATACAAGGAAGCCCTGTCATCTATACTATGAAAGTCTCATGGAAGGTATGTCCCCCTTATGGGACCCATCAGAAACAGCACTAAGGTGGTTGGGTCTGAAGTCTTGGGCAAACAAGCCAAAAGCGGAAGAAAAAAAAAACACTAGTCCCTAGAAATCCAAACCTTCGGGACCCTAAACCCTGACACCCTTGACTTCAGACTGTTCAAACCTTACACGCAACTCAAAAGTCCTCCGGGTTTGGCTCGGCTTGGTCCTGCGGGTGCAGGCCTACTCGGGCCTACTCAGAGGATCACGGCACTTCGGCTGATAAGTTATAAGCAAGGTAACTCGAGTTATATCTACGTATACCCCTAGTTACTACGTCCCATAACCCTTAACCCTAAACCCTGAACCCATAACCCTAAACCTTAGCACCCTAAACCCTAAGCCTTAAACCACGTCCCATGATCCGTCAAGTAGGGCCTAGGAGTGTCGTTTTCCGGACTCTGGAGTTCAAGCTCTCACGTCAGCCTACTCTATCTTTAGGGTACACTCCGACCCCTGAGCCCTGAACCTTAAACCCTAAACCGTGTAGGGTTTGGGGTTTAGGGTTAAGGGGCTGCGGGTTTAGGGCTTGGGGTTTAGGGGCTTGGGGTTTAGGGGTTTGGGGTTTAGGGGTTTAGGGTTTAGGGTTTAGGGGTTTAAGCTTAGGGTTTAGGGTTTAGAGGTTTAGAGGTTTAGAGGCCTAGGGATTTAGGGCTTTAGGCTAAGGGCGACGTTTCTCCTGAAGGCATACTAACGATGCCGCCGCAACTTCCGTTCCCTGGCTCAAGAAGTCCGGAGGCCCCTTAGAAATCTTATAAGCGCCGACTAGCCCTCCCGAAGCCCCTGCGTAACTGTCGCATCGAAAGGCTAAAACCACATAAAACCCTGAGCAGAAATCTTATAAGCGCCGACTAGCCCTCCCGAAGCCCCTGCATAACTGTCGCATCGAAAGGCTAAAACCACATAAAACCCTGAGCAGAACACTGAGAGACCCTTTGCATAAAAAGATGGTTCTAGGGTCCCCTTCTAGGGTTCCTTAATGGGATCTATCAGGGTTGCTATAGGGCTTCTATAAGGATGGTTCTCGAACTCTGGGTCAATTGTTAGGTCCCAAAACTAAAACTCGCACCGCACCCTTCTAACAAGGACCGTCAAAGCGACCCTAGTTCAGAGAACTACCCACCTAGAACCCTCATAGTACCCTTATAGAAAGCCTCCTATAGATCCCTTTAAGGGACCCTGAAAGGGACCCTACTTCAGAGAACTCTAGAAAATTTCGGACTTCCGAAGAAAAAAAAACAACAAATCGGGTGCCCCGGCCGCGGCGCGCAGCCGGCCGATGCAAACTTCCTTGCAGGCGCCCTCAAAGGCGAGGAAGGTGCCTCACAGCGGATTAAGGGTTGAGGGTTTGGGGTTCAGGGTTTAGAGTTTAGGGTTCTGGGCTTAGAGTTTAGAGTTCAGGGTTCAGGGTTTGGGGTTTGGGGTTTGGAGCTTGCTTCAGGGGTTGAAGGCTTCAGACCTTTGGGTTTTGGGGTGCTGGTAGTTCCTAGCTCTGGAGCCAAAGAACTAGGCTAGACAGGGCTTCAGGGTGCACAGAGGTGTCTGGAGTCAAGGGCCCCAGACTGACCCAACCCAAAGCCCTGAACCCGAAACCTGAACACCTGAATGGTACCAGCTGCGCGTCATCGCAGCGGAAACCCTAAACCAAAAAACCCTAAACCCTAAACCCTAATGGGAGGAGGACTTAGAGTTCAGGAGCTCGGGCCCCGGGCCTAGCGGATCTGCCGTGTGCCGAAGGACGGTGACCTGGGACGACCCTTCTCTTCGGTGGTCGGTTCTATGTCTCAGGGCATCCGCAGCTCAGCTGCTGTTCCTTGCACCATTCACCTAAAACCGCCCAGAAAAAAGCCACGAAGAGCCCAGAAGGCGGTTTTGAGGATGGGGGGAAAAGGCCTGGGGATGGCCTGCTCGGCCACTAACGATTCTACTTGCTGTTTCGGGAATCCGGGCCAAGGCGGCTGAACCTGCTACCCCGCATACAATTTAGAGCCCCCGCCCCATCCCAGCCAGCAAAAGCTAAAAAAAAGCGAACAAAAGTAAACTCTTTCGCTCTAGCGCTCTTGGCTCATTGCCTTAATTCTGATTTTTTCGCGTTTTGGACACAGGACTTGTATTTTACAAGATTAGCTGTGGTTGGAGGATTTGGATTGCAAAAACACCTCTAAATCCAAACTCAAAACCTTCAACCAGCTCTAGGGAGGTTTGGAGATGAAAGAAGCCCTGCATGTGCAGGTTTAGGGTTTAGTTTAGTGTTTAGGGTTTAGCCTCAAAGGCCAAACGCCCATGAGCAGAAGTAAGCCTGACACTTTACACCCCAAGCCAGAAATCCTAAATCCTAAACTCTAGATCCTGAAACCCCGAAAGCCCCATCCATGGACCGAAGGCTCGAGCAGCCACCATCTCGACGGATCTGGCGGCACCTTGATGCAGCCGGTGTAGGATTCAGGGTTCAGCAGAGAGGCTTCGGGACTTAGGGGTTAAGGTTCAGGCTGCCTTTGTAGTAGGGTTTGGGGAAAGGGGTCGGGGCTCAGGTTTAGGGTGTAGGGATGGTTTGAGGAACTTTCCTGGTTTGTGGTATATCGGCAAGGTGCCGAAAAGGCCAAGGCTCCCTCCGAATGATCGAAGCTCAGATCTTGGCCGAGCTTGTTGCACTACGGTTGTTGATATAACTCCTGCATTCCCCATAATAAGGAGTATACCATTATCCCCATAGTTTAGGGTCTTGTAGGTAATGCAGGATTTATATCATCAACAGTAAGGGTAAAGGGTCTAGGATGCGCATCCGCCATACCATGACTTCAGCCTACACCGAAACCATGAACGCTTTCAACCTGCCCAACCTCAATCCCAAGCCCTAAACAGGCAAACCGATCCAACCCCTGCAACTCTGAATCATCGATCCTATCTGTTTAGGGTTTAGGGTTTAGGGTCTAGGGTTTAGGGTTCAGGGTTTAGGGTTTAGGGTTTAGGACCAGTTCTGATTTTCTTGGTAGGGTAGCTACACCCCGCCCGGAAAGAACGCCATTGGAGGGTCCAGGTAAAGCCTCGACCCACAAGCATTCAAAACATAAAGCCGCATATCAATAGATATTCACTAGCCGAGTGACCAAGAAAATCTAAGCCCAATTTAGGGCTCAAACCAAAAAAGACAAGGTTTTGGTGTATACGTGAGCAGATTTCACCTTGGGACTGCAAGGGCATGTTGCTCGACCAGCAATTAGGTAAGTCGCCTCTTGTCCCCTAAACCCAAAACCCTAAACCTCCATCCAGGCCTAAACTAATAAGGGTGCTACTGGGGATCCCAGTGGAGCCCTTCTGGGGGGAACCTCTAGAACCCATCGTACCCTTTAAAAGGGGACCCCCATGCTAGAACCCCATAGTACCCTTAAGGGTCCCCTTTTTTGGGGGGTACTATAGGATTCTCTATTCGGGTCCCCCTTTAAGGGTTCTATGGGGTTCTGGAATGTGGGGTCCCCTTTAAAGGGGAATGATCAACCAGGGCCCCGGCAGAGAAGCTCCGGTGGGCCCAGGGCGCTGAAGTAGAGGCGCCCTCCCCCGACTCACTTGGTTTAGGGTTTCGGGCTTTAGGGCTTAGGGTGTAGGTTTTAAGGCTTCGGTTTAAGGGCTTAGGGTGCAGGTTTAGGGTTTAGATTTTACGGCTTAGGGTGTAGGTTTAGAGCTTAGGCTTTAGGGCTTAGGGTGTAGGTTTAGGGCTTGGAGTTTAGGACTTAGGGCTTAGCGGGCTTAGGGTGTAGGTTTAGGGTTTAGGGCCGTTTAGGGTTTAGGGTTTAGAGCTCAGGGTGTAGGCTTAGGGTTAAGGGTTGAGGGTTGAGGGTTGAAGGGGGGGGAAAAACGACGGTGCGTAACGACCCGTAGGTTTTAGGATTAATAGTGGCTTGTTCTTGGTATCGGGTCGCCAACGACCGGTGGGATCCGAGTTTGGGGTACGATTTAGGCTTGGACATCACAGGATTTAGGCCATAGAACCTACCAGGACCTCTTAGCGCACGAGAAAGGTCAATGTGCATGATCTCCATCGAGTTCATGGTACGGCTGGAAGGGCTTAGGGGTTTTTGGTTTCAGGGTTTAGTGTTTGCAAAGCCCTCTGGAGCAGTCCGTAAGACTGCAGAGTTTGGTTGATTTCAGCCCGGCACCTGGCCGATGTCCTCATCTGTTGCCGAATGGTCAACCTAAGCCTGCTTGAAGAACTTCAAGGGTTCTTCAAGGCTTGCTTTAAGGGTTTCCTTGAAGGGTTCCTTTAAGGGTTCCTCTAAGGGTTCCTTTAATGGTTCCTTTAGTTCCTCTAAGGGTTCCTTTTGAAGGCCCTTGTGGTTTGAGAGTGTCAAGACATGGGCTGTTTGTGTGGGTTGCTATAGGGGCCTGCAGAGAGATATTGCTACTGTGTTCTTGGGGTTGCAGCACAACGACGAAAACCAAGAACCCTTGGTTAAAGGAAACTACAGGTGGGGAGTTTAGGGTATATAGGGCTTCTATAAGGCTACACAGACCTTCTATATGGCTCCAACTACCCACCTGAAAATGTCCTAGACTTAGTTCTTCACTCCAAACCCTAAACCCTAAATCCTTGAGCGAACTGTAAACCTTAAATCCCTGGGCGCCCGAAACCCAACCTCCGAAATCCCAGATACCTTAACTCCTACACTTCCTAAACCCTAAACCCGTAAGCTCCTAAACCCCTACCCCAAACCTAAACTGCAAACCTAAACTCAAGACCCTGCCTGGAAACTGCTCCTTCACTGCGCACTGCAGCGAGGTGAGCTCTTCGGAGCTCTTGCCTCTGCCCATGCCAAGGGATCGTAATGAGAAGTTCTGATCAGGGTTCAGGGTCGTTTTTCTAAGTTGGGGTTTAGGGTTTAGAGCTTAGGGTCTAGGATTTAATCATAAGGACCCTTAGGGGGGTATGGGGGAGGGGGTAGGGGGCCTTAATACCTGTTTTAAGGACCTAATAAGGCCAATTTAAGTAGAGTCCCCTACCCCCCTCCCCCGTACCCGCCGAGGGATGTGTAGGGGTTTGGCCAGGGTGTTGTGTAGGGTGTGGGTGTTTAGTGTGGGATGTTGCCTGCTCGTCCTTGAACTGCGAAGTACCAAGGCGCCTTCAAGATTCTGAATACCGGCAGTAATAACTGCAACTAGTAACCATGCTTTAAAACACTCAATCCAAAGCCTAAGGCAAGATTTTTAGGGGCCCTTGGCCCTAAACCCGAAACCGGAAACACTAAACCCCAAACCACCGACTCGGGCCCCAACGGCCCGCGGCGGGCCCGGGGCGCTCGACCGTGGCCACCTGGGCTACTGTCAGGGGCTGCTGGCTTTCGAGGGTTCGGGATTCAGTGGTGTAGGGCTTTGGGGTTTAGGGCTTAGGGTTTGGTGTTTTCGGTCAAAGGGATTATTCAACCCAGACAGCCCAAGACGCTTTAGTTAAGGAAGAGGCCACGAATAGTGGGGGGGCTTATATAACATTGTGATCTAAGGCATCTTCTGTAAGGAAGGGGCATTGGGCTCTCTTCTAAGGGTTTCGGGGTTTGGGGTTCAAGGCTTGGGGTTTTTAGGGCTTTTTTTTGTCGAATCTCTCAAAACCCTAAACCCCTTTGAATTGGGGTTGAGGGCTTTGGGCAGTCGCGGGGTTCAGGGGGCTTTCAGGGCTTTTGGGGTTTAGGAGTTTGGGGGTTTAGGATGTTCAGGGTCCAACTGCCTTTTCCGACTGCTCTACTAGGTTTTGAAGTTTCAGTGCTGGGGTTTTAAATTTCCAAAAAAACTTCAAGGCATCCGGAATTCTCCTTGGCTGGTGGTTGAGGCTTCTGGGCTTTGGAGCCAAGTGTCCTTGCACGTCTTGTTGTTCGTCATGCGGGCGCTTCTCCAAAGAAAGGACACTTCTAGGGGCCCTTCTTAAGGGTTTAGGGTTTAGGGTGACTCTTGTCGACATATTAGAATGACGATCCAAGCAAGGCGTCTGATTTAGAGAGCTACCCATGCACTCGAGCACAGGCGAGCTGGAACAAAAAAGCACTTCGACGGCTAAATCTCCTGAAACCTTACCATCCTCATCCTCGATCCTGCAGGCTGCACTATGTCAATGTGGCTTTCTTCTGAGTTCGGATCCTTTTATGCGTCCAGTTTAAGCTCGATTACATATCCGAAAGACAGCCATGCCTAAAACCAAAGTAGCAGAACAATACGGCTTGAGGGGATTCCAGTGAAGCCATAGTAGGGATTTTTAACCAGTAGAGCTTAAGGCCTAGGGTACAACCGGAAATTCCTGTCAGCCATCGCAGGAATCCGCCAGACCTCTTGGTCCCGTGCCAGCGACCATTTTGGCGACCTTCCGGCCCGCCACCAGAAGCAACGCCTCTCACGCCCAAATAAATTCTACCATCGTATTTTAAGGCTTAGAGTCTATTCACTATACATACGAAGACATATGTGTATATATATATGTAGTTATTCATGTTACACGCACAAAAGCATACTGTATGCAACTTACCAAGCAATGTGCCTTTATACTTTCAAGCGGGTCTTTCGAGCTTTTTTTTGGGGGGGGGGGGTTAAGCTCTCAGGGGCCAAAACCTTCAGGTTGAAGTGAGCCTAACCTGAGGCACCCAGGTTTAGAGTTCAGGGTTTAGGGTTTACCTACCTTTGGTTAGTAGGGAATGGAAGAATGGTAGTAATGGTAATTATAATAGTTCCCATTCCTCCATTCCCTACTAACCAAAGGCAAGTTTAGGGTCCAAGGATCAGGGAATGGAGGCCTCAAGGCAGAGCAACAAAGAACTTGAAAGAAACTCCAACACTGAGCGGTACCCCACGCCCAATCTTTGAACCCCAAGCCCTAACCCTCTGCAAGGAACCCTAAACCGTAAATCTTAAAACCGTAAAGCTATAAACCCCTTCAATGCCAAGCCCTCGATCGCAATGATTTGGTTTATTTTGGAGGCCTAAATAGTTATCAAATACGATCTTTCTTGGGGGTGTTCTTGTTACATGTATAGTATAAAGGGCCGCCAAACCCTATTCCAATGATTAAGGCCTCTATATTGTAGAACCCCTATAGTATCCCTGAAGGGACCCTTAAAAGGAACCCTATTCTAATTGTTTCAAGCCCCTATATTAGTTTCTGGCTCGGCACAGCCTAGGGCGTAGAAGAAGGAAGGGTTTCAGGGGCTCTCGGCGTCGACTTAGGGCTTTGGATTTAAGGCCTAGGGTTCTGCCATCTGTCGACCTCGATCATCCGACACTTTAGGGGTTTCGGGTTTAGGGTTTGGGGTTTAGGGTTGGGTGTAGCATTTAATAGGTTAGGGTTTAGGGTTTAGGGTTGGGTGTAGCATTCGATAGGTTAGGGTTTAGGGTTGGGTGTAGCATTCAATAGGTTCGGGTCTAGGGTTTAGGGTTGGGTGTAGCATTCAATAGGTTCGGGTTTAGGGTTTAAGGTTGGGTGAGGCATTCAGTAGGGCTCAGCCCAAGCCTCTAAAACCTCAGGGTTCGGGGGGTTCAGGGGCTTCCTAGGGCCCACCTACTGCAGCGTCCCAGCAGATCAGCCGAAGCATCGCAGAAAAGCCACCTGGATGGTCCTACTTGGAGGATCATGGGGCTTAGTGAGTAGGGTTATAAGTACCTTACTTAGGGTTATAAGTAGATAGAACTATAATTTCCGTAATTATTCATATAACCCTTCTAAGGCCATGATCCTCTTGGTAAAGGCTTCGCGTTGAGGGCTGCAGCTGCGGCTTAGGATTTGAGGGCTTGGACTTGGGGTTTGGGTTTAGGGTTTCGGTCTCAGAGTTTCGGGTTTAGGATTTCTCAAGGGTTTCGGATTTCAAGCAGGGTTTCGGATTTCGGGTTCGGGGTTGTGGGTGTGGTTGGTTGAAAGCTTGAGGATGGGCAGCTGTTATGTAATCGTCATGACCCGGGGCACTGCCGAGCGGTGAGGCTTTCGAGCTTTAAGGACCTTTTGTTTAGGGTTTAGGGGTTAGGGTTTCCTAGCTGTTATGCGTATTGTAAGATTGAACTGGACTTGAAGAATTAGGGATGAAGGCTTGGGGTCAACATGAACCTCACAGACTTCAGAGCTGCGGGTCGAAGCGAACAGCGGAGGAAGAGCCTTATCAAAGTGAAAAATGAAAAAAAGCGCACTCCCGCAGCATGCAAACTCCAATCAAACAGAACAAAGAAACTGCGCCTGCACGAAACACCCGGGCATTCTAGAGTCCAAACCCCGACACAGGTCTTAAAGCCTTAATTCCACACCCTACCCAGAGGGTCCGACACCGCTTAGATAAGGTGTTAAGCGCGAATCCTAACCTGACTAAAGCCAGTCTATGTCAATGTCATTGTTGAGCAACAGTGAACTCCCCTGGGTACACATGACCCTTCGGAATCCCAAACGTCAGACTCCCCGGAAGAGCCTAATCTAGGGGCCTTCCGACCTCTGTTAGACTGAAGGAGGCAAGGGTTCTCGGGGGATGTACCACAAAGACAAAGTGATACCACCGCTAGTAATTCCGACTCCCATAGCAGCCACCAGACCACCCAGCCCCAAAGAGCTTCTTGAGTCAACGATGTAAGGGCTTCATAAACATATGAGTAGTTCTCTTAATTAGGGTCTCTTTTAGGGTCCTTTTTAGAAGGGCGGGGTACTATATTGGTGACCAAAAACTGGGACCCTAATTTAAAGAACTGCCCATATAAGGGAAACCTCGAGCACGAGAAAGGAAGATGCAGATCCATTGGTGTTGGAGGTAAACCCCGATGCCTGAAGCCCCTGCATAAACCCTAAGCCCTAAACCTAAACCCCTAACGCCTAAACCCCTAAACCCCCTAAACCCCTAAACGCCTAAACCCCCTAAACCCCTAGACGCCTAAACCCCTAAGCCCTTAAGCCCTAAACCCCTAAACCCTAAACCCCTAAACCCCTGAACCCCTAAACCCCCCAAACCCTAAAAGAGAGCCCAGGTCGCAGAGTGGAGCTGGGCGCAAAGAGGGTCAGCTCCCAGGAGCTCATGCCGAGAGGGCTTTAGGGCTTTAGGGTCTTAGGGTCTGGGGTTTAGGGGTTTAGGGGTTTAGGGGTTTAGGGGTTTAGGGTCTAGGGTCTAGGGTTTAGGGTTTAGGATCTGGGGTTTAGGGGTTTGGGGCTTAGGGCTTAGGGTTTAGGGTTTAGGGCTTAGGGTTTAGGGTACCTTTCGCGCTTCGCATTTGGAAGTACAGGGGCCCTTGGTCTTTAGCATGTGGTTTGGGCTTTAGGGTTTGGCGTTTTAGGGGCTTCGGGTCTAGGAGGTCTGCGTAGAACTCGGGTTCAAAAGCCTGCACCCTAAACCCTAAACCCTAAGCCCTAAACCTTAAACCGTAAGTACCAACACAGCTCCTAAGGGCTTTTGCTCTAATGATACTTCGGCTGTTGCTATAGATCCTGCATTAGCCATCATAAGGAATAGACCATAATTCCCATAGTTTTGGGTCCTCAAGGTAGTGCAGGATTTATATCATCAACAGTATGATATACCCCAAAACCCTGTGCCGATGAGCAAACAGGCCGCTTTTTTTTACGACATAGGTGATTTCTTCCCGAATGCCGGAAAGAAGGCTAAGGTGCCGACTGGCAACGGGTCGGGCTTCGCTTTTGCATAAGCCAGAAAGTGGAGCGTTTGGGGTTTAGGGTCTAAGGTCTCATGCTTAGGGCGGAGCGTTTAGGGCCTTCGTGTTGAGGGTTTCGGAGTCGACTTAGGGCTTTAAGGCGTGAGGCTGGCTTTGAGGCGGCAGGGGCCCTGCTTATGTCCTTTGTGCC